CAGGACCGCTGCAGGTCTTTCCGGACCACAATGGCTACAATTAGAGTACGTTTTGGGTGCTTGCTTTGTCTCTGTCTCTTTCTTCTCTTCTTTCTTTTCCCGTTCTTTCCTGTTTTTTCTCCAAAGCTGAGTTAGCCTAAGGACAAAAAGAGGTCTGAAATGGTCTGAAACCACTCTGAAACACCCGCTGCTCACCATTTACAACGCTCTCTCTCTTTCCTCTCCCTCTTCCTCTCTCTGTCTCTCTCTCTCTCTCTCTGTCTCTCGTGCTATCCTCTTTCCCGACCCTGCCATGTTTTCCGGACCGTAGTGTTACAATAAGAGTCCGTTTTGGTGCTTGCTTTCGGACCGCTGCATGTCTTTCCGGACCGTAGTGTCTACAATAAGAGTACGTTTTGGGTGCTTGCTTTTCCGGACCGCTGCAGGTCTTTCCGGACCACAATGTCTACAATTAGAGTACGTTTTGGGTGCTTGCTTTTCCGGACCGCTGCAGGTCTTTCCGGACCACAATGTCTACAATTAGAGTACGTTTTGGGTGCTTGCTTTTCCGGACCGCTGCACATCTTTCCGGACCGCAATATCTACAATTAGAGTACTTTTTGGGTGCTTGCCTTTCGGGACCGCTGCAGGTCTTTCCGGACCACAATGACTACAATTAGAGTACGTTTTGGGTGCTTGCTTTTCCGGACCGCTGCAGGTCTTTCCGGACCGCGACATCTACAATTAGAGTACGTTTTGGGTGCTTGCTTTTCCGGACAGCTGCATGTCTTTCCGGACCGCATGTGTTTCAAGTACAATCTGTTTTGAGCCCCTTCTTTTGGATGTCTTAAGAACTAGGTAGCCCCATAACCGGCCCCAAAAGAGGTCTGAAACCAGTTCGACACATCTTCCTGCTCACCGTCTCAAGACTTCTTCTTTCTCTCTGTCTCTTTCTCCCTTCTCTTCTTTCTTTTCCCGTTCTTTCCTGTTTTTTCTCCAAAGCTGAGGTAGCCTACGGACAAAAAGAGGTCTGAAACCACTCTGAAACACCCCGCTGCTCACCATTTACAACGCTCTCTCTCTCTCCTCTCCCTCTTCCTCTCTCTGTCTCTCTCTCTCTCTCTCTCGCCTTCTGTTTGTCTCCATCTTCCATCTTCCTCTCTCTCTCTCTCTATCTCTCTCTCTCTCTCTCTTTCCCTCTTCCTCTCTCTGTCTCTCTCTCTCTCTCTCTTTCTCTACCTTTTCTCTTTCTTTTTTCATCTCCCAAAGCTGGGGGTACCCAAAAAACAAGCCCAAAAGAGGTCTGAAACCATTCTGAAACACCTTCCTGCTCACCATCTCCGGGCTGCTGCTGCATGTCTTCCGGACCGCGTTGGCTGCTTTATCTCTATCTATCTATCTATCTATCTATTTATCTATCTATCTATCTATCTATCTATATCTATCTATCTATCTATCTATCTATCTATCTATCTATCTATTATCTATCATTCTATCTATCTATCTATCTATCTATCTATCTATCTATCATCTATCTATCTATTATCTATCTATCTGTCTATCTATCTATCTATCTATCCATCTATCTGTTATCTATCTATCTAACTATCTATCTATCTAATCTACTAATCTACTAATCTATCTATCTATCTATCTATCTATCTATCTATCTATCTATCTATCTATCTATCTATCTATCTATCTATCTATCTATCTATCTATCTATCTATCTGCTCTGCTCTTTAAATGTATTTCCTTGTATGTTGTGTTCAAGTCTTTTCTGTCTGTAAATTGTTCTTTTCATCAAGGTCAGCTAGACCCCCCAAAGGGGTCTGAAACCACTCTGAAACCGCTCTGAAACCACAGAAGTTCAACACGTGCAGAGCTACTTCCCAGTACTACTTCCCAGTACTACTTCCCAGTACTACTTCCCAGTACTACTGTGTACTACAAAGCTTGCACAAACCACTTCCCAGTACTACTGTGTACTACAAAGCTTGCACAAAGCACTTCCCAGTACTACTTTGTACTACAAGGCTTGCAAAGTCGTTCCCAGTACTACTGTGTACTACAAAGCTTGCAACAACTACTTCCCAGTACTACTGTGTACTACAAAGCTTGCAACAACTACTTCCCAGTACTACTTTGCATTACAAAGCTTGCACAAAGCACTTCCCAGTACTACTTTGTACTACAAAGCTTGCACAAAGTCGTTCCCAGTACTACTGTGTACTACAAAGCTTGCACAAAGCACTTCCCAGTACTACTGTGTACTACAAAGCTTGCGCAAAGCACTTCCCAGTACTACTGTGTACTACAAAGCTTGCACAAACTACTTCCCAGTACTACTTTGTACTACAAAGCTTGCACAAACTACTTCCCAGTACTACTGTGTACTACAAAGCTTGCACAAACTACTTCCCAGTACGAAATACTAAGTGAATACTAAATATTTAACATTCGAAAACAAGTACGAGAATAATGGTGAAAAACAACTGAAATGATGAAAGTGATCCGGGAGTGTGGTCGCGCAAGAAACGCGCAAGGTTGGCGCAAGCTCGGCCCAAGAGGCCTTTGTGGGAACAGTAATTTAGGACAACCCCCATATATATAGTCGTATAATGTCGTATATATAACCATATATATTTCTTTGTAAAGGTATCTCACTTTTCCATCCATCTCATTTCTGACCTAATTTCGAACTTTCCGAAACAAATCCGAATTCTTCATTCCGGCGTCAGGAGCGTTGTGGAGAAGGGCGGTGTCTACTGTGGCCGGAAAAGGGCCACAGCTGGAGACTACGGTGGTTGTTTTCAGGCCAGGGATGACCACGTTCGCTGATCATTGGTGAATTTAAGGGTGAAGCAAAACCTGGTTGGTGGTTTGGAGCATTTTTTATTTTTCCTAATATATTGGGAGTAATCATCCCAACTGACTTTCATATCTTTCAGAGTGTTGAAACCACCAACCAGAAACTGTCATCCTGCTTTTGTTACAAGGGACTGTCATTTATAGATTTTCCAAAATGCTGATTGCACCAGCCAGCGAAAGATCCGAAAAAAGTCAGCACCGCTGCGTCCGTACCGCTGCGTCCGCACCGCTGCGTGCTACTTCAGGCCATTTGTTGGAAGTGCATGAACAAGCAACGGGTCTCGGCCCTAGGCGACGGTACATCACCGGAGGGAAATGTAGAAATGTTGCGTAAACCACTGCAGTGAAGAGTTGCTGCGTAAATTCATTTTTTCTTGGCCACATGGGGGAATCTGATGTCCAGCTAAGAACTGGTTTGTTTGTAGGGAATCTAAGATCAGCGATGTGCCATGATTATGAAGCACCACAAACCTTGGTAAGAGATGGGTGCATATCTTGTGCCTCGAAAAAGAATGAACTGAGTATGGTGAGTATGGGTCGAAAATGGTCGATTTTTTTCAGAGCCAGAGAACTCTGTAATTATAGGTCATCTTTAGATAGATAGGTTATAATAGTTTCAATTTCATCATGATCGTGGTCGTGGTCGTGATCCTCAGCCTCCTGGGTCCTCATCATCCTCGTCATCATGTCATCATGATGCCTTTTTTTTTGGCCCAGTTTTGACCCTACGCAACTCTCTTGAACTGTTTTCTTCATTAGTTACTGTTGGTTGGTGTTTTGGAACATGACTGGATTATTTTCCATTTCATATATGGGATGTCATCCTTCCCATTGACGAACTCATATCTTTCAGAGGGGTAGGTCAGCCACCAACCAGGTAGTTACTGTATTCTGAATAAGCTATCCACTTGTGATCGAATCACGGCCCCGATTCCATGGCATTTCTTCCGCCCGAGACCCGCATGGTAAACCCATGGCGCATATGAATTAAACATAATTAAACACTCTATGGTCCCAAGTGAATGTAAATCCCCTACCAAACCATGGTTTTTGGGTGCTGTTGCTGTTCGGGGGATCAGACTATGTAAAACTTCACTCAAAACAGAAATACCAACGACAGACTGATACGGACATCCTAAAATTGGATGGGACAATTCGCGGCTGCAGCCCTATAACATCCTATAACATCCTATAACTATTTGGGGATACTGTCCACTTTCCCATGGTTTCAACAGTTTCAACCTTCTTTGACCTTTTCCGAAACGAAATCCTGAGGACAAGATCGGCAAGATCAAAACCACGAAGTCGGAATTCGCTTCGCTTGGGCCTGATGCTTGGTGGATGCACGAGACCTGCATGACACCAGAGGCGCGTTTTTTGCCATGGCCCCATGGTGAACATCTTTGAAAGTCGCAAGGCGATGCCCCAGTTTGCTAGCTAAGTTTTATGGATGATAGATCTATTAGAGCGTTGCTGTAGTAGATTATAGTAGATTTATAACACACATATTAAATATCATATTATCACATAGTCGAAACTAACTTAACATGGGTCACTTCTTATTTTCCACATCGCTTGTTACGTCCATACCGCAAGTCACTCAGTGTCGAGCCGGGGAAGTTTTGTCGGAAGTTTGATCTCCCTTTTTGTCCAGGACAAAAAAGACTACTTTGGCGAGGATGAGGAGGATCCCAAGGGAAGATGTATCAAGGGAAGATGTATCAGATGTACCTGACTGAATTGTGGTCACTTGTGGTCACTTGTGGTCACTTGTATCCATTTATTACATAAATAGCAACCCCTGAGAGATAGAAAAGGTTCAGTTTGCCACTATTTTTGGATTGGAATTTACTGTTCTATCTTTTTGGGGGTTTCTATGATTCTATTTGTAAACACAATGAAACACACATGTTCATCATATTGTGTTCAAGACACTACATTCAAAAAATGGTCATCATGTTTCTATATGTTTCTCCTTGTTTCTCACAGCAGTTAACAGATAATGAAGTTTACTACATATTCATCACATAGAAAACAACGTTGTTGATATTCATGATGTCATGATATTTCAGTGATGATTGTTCATCATATTTCAATTGCGATGATGATTTCATCTTGTGGCGTAAAACTGATCACATCTTAGAGGGGACATGGCATTTGTTCAGGAGGAGCGGGAGGAAGAAGTGAAGCAAAAGAGGCCCAAGAAGAAGTTCAAGGAGGAACAGTTGGTGACGCGATGGGACATTTGGCGAGGGGCTGCTGACTTAAACAAAGCTTTATTGAACCTTTGTCATGAATTTAAGAAGTGAACATTGGATTTGTTCAAGACCCTGATATTTTGAGTTCTTGCAATAAGAACTGTGTACTGAAGTGCATGTGTGGATGATGAGAGCTTTTGACAGCTGAACTGCTTTCAGGCTTTAGCAGGGGGTCAGCATGATGTTCTTTGTTTGTTTAATGATTAATGATAATACAAACTTGCCTTTATGAATCAGGAGGCAACAGCCAGTCAGTATTTTCAGGGACACTTTTTTCCCCCAGAAGGTGCTTGTTGTGGGTTGACATGCCAGCCATGTCTTGAAACTAGGAATTAATCAAGCCATTTGATGCTCAAACACATGGAGCACATTATCAAATCCTGAAGGCTAAGGGCCTAGCAATTCCCGACTGAGTGCAATGGGATGCACATGACATCGTGAGTTCTATGGTTGTAGCATGTTGTAGCCTACTACATGGTGATGGGTCAATACCTACGGGATGAAGATCCAATAACTACCAGCTATTTTGCTGTGAAAACGAGGGGAAATGCTTGGCTTTGACCCAGAACTCGAAGTCATACTGAACAAACTTGCGGCATTCTTTCTCAGACCCCCAACATGCGCTTGCCCCCGTCAACTCGAGTGCGCGGGCTGCTACGTTGTCAGTGGCTCGGGGAGCTGAGAAAGACAAGAGCCGTTTGCAACTGGTGTGGCGAGTCTCTGTAAAACCCTGGAGTTTTCACATCCCAAAAATGAGGTGTAGAACAAATGGACTATGAAGACAAAAGAATCAGAATACGGAATATAGAAAACATCAAAACCCAGTTTTCATTGAAATCTACAGAACATTAGATCTCCATAAATCTCAACCCCAACAATAGGTGCTTATTATAGCTTCAGCATCTTGGCAAGGTCTCGATGCTGCTTTCTTTGTGGCATCATTCGAGGAGGTGCTCCTCCCGTTTCGAAACCTTTCGAAGATTTTTCATGATAAAAGCTCTATAAAAGACAATTATACAAAATCATATGAAAATCCTAAATTACTTTTGAGTGATCCCCACCCTGACACACTATTCAAAAAAATAGTGTCTGGAGGTGTATGTGTATATAATATGTAAATATGTAAATATGTATGGCATATACTGTATATGCTGACATTCTGTCGGCGGACATTCTTTCTGGTATTCTTTCTGGCATTCTATCTGACATATGTTCTGACATTCTATCTGGCAGTCTTTCTGGCATCTATTCTGACATTCTATCTGGTATTCTGACATTCTATCTGGCATGTATTCGGACATTCTTTCTGGCATTCTATCTGACATCTGTTCTGACATTCTATCTGGCAATCTTTCTGGCATCTATTCTGACATTCTATCTGGTATTCTGACATTCTATCTGGCATGTATTCGGAAATTCTTTCTGGCATTCTATCTGACATCTGTTCTGACATTCTATCTGGCAATCTTTCTGGCATCTATTCTGACATTCTATCTGGTATTCTGACATTCTATCTGGCATGTATTCGGAAATTCTTTCTGGCATTCTATCTGACATCTGTTCTGACATTCTATCTGGCAATCTTTCTGGCATCTATTCTGACATTCTATCTAGTATTCTGACATTCTATCTGGCATGTATTCGGAAATTCTTTCTGGCATTCTATCTGACATCTGTTCTGACATTCAATCTGGCAATCTTTCTGGCATCTATTCTGACATTCTATCTGGTATTCTGACATTCTATCTGGCATGTATTCGGACATTCTTTCTGGCATTCTATCTGACATCTGTTCTGACATTCTATCTGGCAGTCTTTCTGGCATCTATTCTGACATTCTATCTGGTATTCTGACATTCTATCTGGCATGTATTCGGACATTCTTTCTGGCATTCTATCTGACATCTGTTCTGACATTCAATCTGGCAATCTTTCTGGCATCTATTCTGACATTCCGCGACACACTGCATGCGGAACTCGCCATATAGAGTTCGGATCCAGGCGTTGCCCATTGCATCCGGAGCTTGCGATATGGTTCGGATCCATTGCTGCTCACAGGCACGAGGCACGACGAGCTGGCAGAGGAGTAGACGAGGGGAGGAGAAGGAAGGAGTTGCACCTTTAGAGCTAGCGACCCTCACCCGGCACATGGGGAAAATATGGGATAAATCGGATAATCATACTGACAAGCATATTTTTCAGGTGCGAGGCTCAACCACTAATCATCACCCAAATCCTGGCAGGAAGGATACTACACCCTTCAGGATTTACACGACGATGGCCAAGAGGCCCCAGCAGAGGGCCGTTTCTTCATTTGCAAATGAAATACCTCCCACAAACCCTGGTCTTAGTATAGGATCTATACTTATTCTATGTCATTTGGGGGACAAACATCGAATTTCACATTAGTGGAGTATTTTTGTAATTAGTGTGACAAACTGCGGTAAAGCCAATGCTAAAACCATACCCAAATTTGCCACGTGGATCATGATCAATCCACAGAAAATGACTAAAAGTGGGGGGTTCATTATTGGTTTTACGGATGTTTACGGTATTACTGAACAGAAACTTCAGGTTGATGTGGTGAATAGGGACACCGTCCAATGAATTTGGAACTCCAGGTATGAGAGAATCTGTTTTCGCTACCGAAGTGAGCAATTCCGCACCATCGAATGGTCATATCCATATCCGCGGAAAGCCATTTGGGCCAACCGGCAGATGGATTAAAGTGTAATAAGAAAAGATTGGAGCTGGTTGGTAGCTCCAATACGTGCTTGTTTTCCATCCCAACAAATGGGATGATGATGAGGAGGATGATGAGGACGATGCTGCTGCTGCTGCTGCTGCTGACGACGACTCCCAACTGACTTTCACTTTGTTTAAGTCACCAACTACGCAACCCATGCCATACACATGCTTTAGATATATACACATATATCATATATACACAGATTTAGATAACTTAGCGATATCACATGTTGTCAACTGATTTTTGTTGGTTATATCCCCCTTTCTGTTCGGGTGCGCTCATGATCATCCCAGTTTGTGTACATTTTGTTGGTCACACTCCCTCCTTTATAGATTGAATATACCCTCATCAAATGAACATAGATGTGGAACCCGCACGACTTGTAGATCATTTTCCTTGGGAAACCATAGGTTTTCCATATCACTGGTTTAACTTCATGCGGGACATATCCCAATTGTCGATATTCAAATCCCCATTTTGGGATGCTCTTAAACCCTAGATTGCTTTGCCATATTGTTGGAAAACCGCACCCCTGTTATTTTTTTCTTGGGTCAAATCAATGAAAATCCAATTTTTGGTTGCTGAAAATTTCCAGGAATCCGGTCTCATCTTCAAACATCAGGTAGTCACCGACTTCGTGCAAGCTTTGAGCATGCCTCGAGGCACAGACGAGCGCTTCTTGCAGCTCGCCTTTCAGGATTGAAAGTGCCAACTGTTGTGTGATGATTGTGATGTATCACCATTTTTATGGGTACTTGGAAGGGTTTATCTAGCTGGAACCCAAATTGTTGTAAATGACCCCTCTTTTGGATGGTTAACGATAGTTAAGCCTCCATTTTGTGGGTCGAAAACTTCAAAACAAGGGTGAGGTGGGTTTCAGGTATGTATTTAAATATACACACTGTACATACACAGATCAAGTCATGAGTCATCATGAGATGTATATGCAGGCATTTCTTTCTATCACGCAGATCTTCGTGTTTGGCATTCTGATGTGGCACCACCGCTATCAGCCAGATGCAGTGTCAGGAGGGTGAAGAGGAGGAGGAAGAGGAGTGACAGCGACTACTTGGAGGACGATCCCACTTACTAAGTGATTAACAGTAAACAATCCTGGTTAGTAAGTTCCCTAGTCGTGGATGCGTTTGCTTAGCGGGTTATAACCCCACTCAGCACTTGCGTTCGTGGGATAGTCCTCCAAGTATCACCCCAAGTTCCCCCTTGGGGCCCTCCGAGTAGAGTAGAAGTACAGCTAAGCCGGGTGATGTATTAAGTCCCATTTTTCCTAGATAAACCTATATAAATCCCCAACTTTCATGCTTCTTAAATCCACGTCACGCCCGTCAGGCTGCTCCCCTTGCTGCGGCTCCAACCGCGGGGCCCTGGGACGCGACGTGGCTGCGGACGCTGGCGCCGCTGTATTCGCTGCACATGGGCCGGGGGCGAAGGGAAGGGCTGCAGGTCTCCAAAAAGCAAGCATCTTATGAAAATGGATGATTATACTATAATAGTGATCATGTATCTATACTATAATAGTGATCATGTATCTATACTATAATAGTGATCATGTATCTATACTATAATAGTGATAATGTATCTATACTATAATAGTGATAATGTATCTATACTATAATAGTGATAATGTATCCATACTATAATAGTGATAATGTATCTATACTATAATAGTGATAATGTATCTATACTATAATAGTGATAATGTATCTATACTATAATAGTGATCATGTATCTATACTATAATAGTGATAATGTATCTATACTATAATAGTGATAATGTATCTATACTATAATAGTGATCATGTATCTATACTATAATAGTGATAATGTATCTATACTATAATAGAAATAATGTATCTATACTACAATAGTGATAATGTATCTATACTATAACAGTGATCATGTATCTATACTATAATAGTGATCATGTATCTATACTATAATAGTGATCATGTATCTATACTATAATAGTGATAATGTATCTATACTATAATAGTGATAATGTATCTATACTATAATAGTGATAATGTTTCTATACTATAATAGTAATAATGTATCTATACTATAATAGTGATAATGTATCTATACTATAATAGTGATAATGTATCTATACTATAATAGTGATAATGTATCTATACTATAATAGTGATAATGTATCTATACTATAATAGTAATAATGTATCTTTACTATAATAGTGATCTAGCTATAATAGTAGTAATTTATCTATACTATAATAGTGATAATGTATCTATACTATAATATTGATACTGTATCTAAACTATAATATGTAATACTGTATCTATACTATAATAGTGATAATGTATCTATACTATAATAGTAATAATGTATCTATACTATAATAGTGATACTGTCTCTATACTATAATAGTAATAATGTATCTATACTATAATAGTGATAATGTATCTATCTATACTATAATAGTAATAATGTATCTATACTATAATCGTAATAATGTATCTATACTATAATAGTGATAATGTATCTATACTATAATAGTAATATTTATCTACACTATAATAGTAATAATGTATCTATACTATAATAGTAATAATGTATCTATACTATAATAGTAATAATGTATCTATACTATAATAGTGAGAATGTATCTATACTATAATAGTGATAATGTATCTATACTATAATAGTAATAATGTATCTTTACTATAATAGTGATCTAGCTATAATAGTAATAATTTATCTATACTATAATAGTGATAATGTATCTATACTATAATCGTGATACTGTATCTATACTATAATAGTAATGCTGTATCTATACTATAATAGCAATACTGTATCTATACTATAATAGTAATAATGTATCTAAACTATAATAGTGATAATGTATCTATACTATAATAGTGATAATGTATCTATACTATAATAGTAATACTGTACCTATACTATTAATAGTAATAATGTATCTATACTATAATAGTAATCATGTATCAATATACTATAATAGTAATAATGTATCTATACTATAATAGTAATAATGTATCTATACTATTATAGAATAATGTAACTATACTATAACAGTAACAATGTATCTATATACTATTAATAGTAATAATGTATCTATACTATAATAGTAATAATGTATCTACACTATAATAGTAATAATTTATCTATACTATAATAGTAATAATGTATCTATACTATAATAGTAATAATGTATCTATACTATAATAGTAACAATGTATCTATACTATAATAGTATTAATGTATCTATAGATAGGACACTATACTTATGAACATATGGAGGTTTCCTAAAATGGTGGTACCCCCAAATCATCCATTTATAGATGGATGTTCCATTATAAACCATTATTTTTTTCCTAGAAACTCTACTAAAATAAGATACTATAGACTATAGATAGCTATAAATAAGATACATATGGGATTTAAAGGGATTCATATAATAAATGATCAAATAATGAAGCTCTTAAACATTTTAGATATACAATATAATTGGGACATAGTGGGATATCTATGGGATATTTCACCACCAATCATCTTATAATGGGATACCAGTTTCATGGAGATACACGTGCATATAAGGAGAATTCATGGGTTAGAGAACCAACATGAACCACAGTTTATTAACCATTTCCATTGGGCCCAACAATTACAAGCATCCTTTGGAATTGATCCAACTGTCAATGGTGCTTCGCCCCAGTTAGTATTGATTACAAGTCCAATGATGGAAGTAGACTAACCCTACTTACCTAACTTGTTGCCAGCTATATGCCTACGAAGTAGGATGAATCACCAAGGAGAATGAACCACCAAGTAGGAATGATTGGTATTTTACAGTTCATCCAAACTAGAAATCCTTGATTTCTGGAAATTGGATGTCGACGCGTGGGTTGGTTGGGCTTCAGCGTGGGTTGCATACTTTCTGTGACTTTTGCGGCTAAATAAACATTCTGTGGGTGGGTAAAACCTGGTTTGGTGAAGGGTGAATGGTTGGCAGGTCTCTCCTAGTCCTAGACTACAATAAGAGTGGAAAATCACAACTGTTTCTGTCTTTTCTTTTTGGTACGTGTCTTTAAGTATTGACAAAAACGAGTGTCCCGTGCACGGTGAAATGACCATTGGGCCATAGGGTAAACCGTCTCTATGGATCAAGGGATCCCTCGTTTCAACAGACCCAAGAATGTGGCGCTAATTGAGAGCTGATTCACCACCATCAAGCCACTTCTTATATCAATCCACTATTTCTTATATCAATCCACTTTTTTTGGGTTATCACTATCCAATATCAATCCACTTTTTCTCACTAGTAACCCCTTGCCCTCGCGGCAAGGCTGCGAAAACATGGGACCACTTCTCTATAGTCTGGTGCGGTTTGTGAAGCCTTCTCGGAGCTTGGAGATTGGTGCAGGCGTGGAAACTTGAAGAGACTGGGCGTCGTTTTTTCGTACCTTCTGGTCATTTAATGTTATGAAAATTCACCATTCTTCGTAGGTCAAACATGGAACTACATGGACCATTTTCCATATTGCCATATTGTCAAACTACCAGAGGGTTGATTGTTGCACCCCCAAGATAGAAAAGTTGAACACCTGGAAATCATGTGATAAACATCATCTTCGCAGATTCTGGAAACACATTTTCTCAGGACGGTCTGTCCCACAGAGTCCACAGAGAACCATCCAACTGCTATGGGGGGCCGCGTTACCATGAGTTGGAAGTTGCTGGAAGCACCCTCGTTCAGCCCGAAAAAACACCTCCTGGAAACCCTTGGTGAAGAGTAGGGGCAATGGGATTGTTTTATAGTGGGGATGGGAAATCTACAGACCTCACTCGCTGAGCCATTGAAGGGAACATTTGCAGGACACCGGTGTGTTTCGGGGGCTCAAAATACTTTCCTGATCTTTCCTATAAAAACTCCACATAAACCGATTGATTTTGGGTCCCATGGGGTCCTATTTTGGTGGGGACTTCACATTAGTGCTATGGGATGATCAGCCAATGGCAGGCTATACTTCTGCCTTTCTGCTTCAAGCACTGGAGGCGTCCTTTTCGTAAAATTGGGATGGGCGGTTTTCAGGGTCAAACTGTTAGTTAGGTGCATGGTATACAATAGCAACAGCAGTTGAACTACCATAGCCAATTCTTTTGTGGTGTTTGGACCACTATACTTTGATACATCTCCAAAGTTGATGGATTTGCAAGGATGTTACATTTTTTGACCGATGCATATGAAAGAGGCATTGGATACCCTGGACTGGAAAACAGTGAAGAAGCATATATATAGTCTAGTTGTATATCAGATGTGATGAGTTAGAAGATTTCAGCAACAGCAGCAAGACACTTGAAAGCTAGTATGTTTGTGTGAGATTCTAAGTCTATTTGTAACCACTTTCAGGACCTCTAAACATGTTCAAGATGCAGCAGTGGAGACAGTGGAGACTGGAGATTCTAGGTCCCTTTGGTCTCTTTGTTCCCTTTGGTCCCTTTGGTCGCTTTGGAATCTAGATTAGAGGATGATCCAAAACCTGGAATGATGGTAATAACTGTAATTATCTATAACGATCTATATTTAGAGGTATGAACAAAAACCTGGCTGTTTGATGGTTTTTCATCCAGTCCTCTGGCAACAGGACAATCAGCGCGAGCTGTGCTTCTGGCAAGAGTGGAACCAAGCATCCGGGCCCAAAAACTGGCTGGTGAGCGAACTGGCCGAAGGCGGTTGAGCCATGGAAAAGCCTGGAATTAACATGCACGGGTGGTCTTTTTCAATGGGGAAACCATTGGTTTGGGAGTTTTGGGGTTATTTTAGAAACACTCAGCTGGCGAAGTCGACAATCTATAAATGCTGGGTTTTCCATTGCCTCGTTCGAATACCGGACCGGAGGATCCCTTGATGTATCCTGTTTGATGCCAAGCTGAAACCACCCCCTGCCCCAGGGGACACTGCTCCTGGCGCTGAGCCTGAAGGCGGGAATGGATGGGAATGGATGGAAATGGATCCATTGTTGGGAAGATCTCATATCTATCTCTTTGATCATTGACAAGATGTAACAATAACGAATCATTAGAACTCAAGATTTTAATCCTAGGTTTGGCATCAAGATCAAGACTTGGATGAGTGGCTGGGGATTGTCATCCATACAGTAGGGAGTCATAATATGCAACTTATTTTGACCATGGCACCTCTATATAATTATATAGGAGTTGATCTAAAGGTCCTTATAAGATTTGTATATAACGACGGCGGCTGGTGTTGCAACATCAGCTATCGTGAAACATGTTTTCAAAGTTCACGACAGTCAATTTTGTTTTGGCGAAAGATGTGGCGAAAATATCATTTGATGGCTTATCATATTGCATGTTTCCACACTAGAATTACCACTAGATTGGTGTTGCGGGAACTTTCTAAATAAGGATGGGTTGACCCTCCATTTTATAGGTCAAGAGCTTGAAAATAAATAGGTAATTCAGTTTCCAGTCTGTATATAATTATACATAATTATACATAATTAATATGATTATTCAACATGAATAAACCATTACAATTCATCACAAACCATTAGTCACAATTAATTTATCATTAACCATTCATTAACCATTTATCATGGCCATCATCCCGGCCATGCGAAGCCTCGGCAGCGGCAGGCGGAGACCTCCACTGACAGCACTGCTCCGTTGCTGTGGCAAGTCGCCAAGCGCTTGAAGCTACAGCATCGGTTGAGGTGGATGCGGAAAGCTGGGGCTGAACATGGCTGAACCTTAACCAACATGTGGTAGATCTATAGCCAAATAAGATTGTTGTATCACCCAATTTGTAGATGGGTCTACAACGAAGATTGTTTAGTTTTTATCATGTTTTTATGAACACAATGAATATGGACATAAGATGACACAAGATGACACAAGATGGCATAAGATGACATAAGATGACATAAGGTATAGGCGCTAGGACTAGCAAAGCTAAGGGCTTTTCAGCAATCAAAGTGGCTGGTGCTTACCGACAGTTTGTTGTGGAAAACCTATGAAAACCTCCTATTTTCATCCATTGCTACAGGGTTGCTACAGGGTTGCCCCCTTTAGAGGTGACCTTTTCACAAAATCCCATCCTAACCACCCAGCGAAAGACTGTCCCGAAGACTGTCCCGGTGCATCCTGGTGAGCCCATTTCCACGGCCCAAAGAACGACCGAACCACGCGGTCATTGGCGCAGCAATGACCGTGCCGTATGTTCACTTGCTCAGTGCGGTCCTTCGGCATCCACTTTGGCCACTTTGGTGATTGGGGGCCATAAAATGCCATAAATATATTTTAATATACATCATAAATCATCATAAAACTACCTTAGCTTCAGTATGAAGAATGCCCAGTTGAGCGAAGTGCCAACTTGAAAAGCGAGCGAAGAGGTTTCCTCACTGAGGTGAGACCGAAAAGGTATGATGTGCGCTTTGAATTTCAGAAGCTGGGTGCGGATGATGCCTTCAAGGGATCTTTGAAGGCAGATTTGGATCTGTTGAGCCTTGGCTGAGGCAACTCTTCCATGACATGAATGAACATCAAGTTTGATCAAGCATTATGTTTGGGATTGGGAGTTTGTTTGGAAATAGGCTACCCCAAGAGTCTAGTGGATCATGCTGAGTTTCCCTCGTCAATGCGAGTTTGGAGATTTACAAACCATTTTCAGACACACTCATTTACTGTGAATACAAGGGTAGCTGCGTAGCTCATGTGTCCTTTCCTTTCTAGCTTCTTCCCATTTTTTTTCATAATTTACATCCCTTTTCTCTGCGTGACTTCCACTTGTTCCATCCATCTAGCGCTTTGGCCGAAACTTGCGGATGCCCTATTTTATGCCAATTTTAATCAGGAAAGGTTTGCATGAAACCATTGCCGATCTTGCTGTACCTGATTTTATTTCCTGATAAACTCATCAACTCTGTGTTTTGATTCATCGCCATCCCATTTATATAGCCTGAAATTAGAGTATGTACTCCTAATATTGCACAATTCATATCAATTCATCATCTTTTGCCCTTTCAGGATTGCAATTTTGGTATATGCTGCCCCAATATCAATAAATATCCATGATATATACAAAACTATATCAAGACTGCGGCCGCGCCTTGAGCGCCTTCCAAGGACCCCGGCTCGTACAGTTGAGCTCCATGCCAAGTGCATCCAAGTTCACTCCGCCGTGGTCATCTTCCAATCCGGGGAGAAACTTAAGATGTCAGAGGCTGTTGTACAGGCGGGGGCTAGACTGGATCCATGTGGGAAATGGATGGAAACAGGGATTTCATAGGATTCAATGGGATTTAATGGTATATATATAATATATATATCTAACCAGCAACATAACGTCTGGATCCATAGAACTGTGAATGCCTAGAACGTAATTAGGGAGTACTTAATTTATGCTTGTTGAAAATACACTCTGCCATTGCAAACATACACGGCTTATTTTCCCATAAAAGGGGATGGTCATCAATCCAATAGTACGGATGTCCAACCTTGTTTGGATTAAATACTATAATATGTAATATATGTACCTACTAAAGTAAAAGATTCCTCTTATGTGATGGATGACCATACCCCATATACCATGTTTTGATCATGCCACATATATGGGTTTGTCTGAACATGATGTAACCTCAATTTTGATGGTTTATCAAGTTTTATTCATCATATTCACTGTTAAACAAGGCCATAGTTGGGGTACATATGGTTTTCAGACATATGCATCATATTGACACATATTGATGGAGATGTATAACTAACCAAAAATATCACAATTATGTTTGTTCAACCATGGACATGGGCGCACCAGTTATGGCCCTTGTTTTTATATATATATATAGAACACAATATGTGTGTTGAACCATGGGGCCCGGGTAGCCTAATTCGCTCAAAGCGTTTGATTTTCATGTCATGGTGGATCTTTTGGTTTTGATCTCTGGGAAGTGGGAAGTGTTTATCAGTTACAAAAGGTTGACAATAAATCCGCCCGCTGAGTGGGTTTCTGACTACATGGAAAGATTCGGAGATTCGGATGCTAAATTGTGCTAATTTTCGATCGCCAAAAACAACCATGAAGACTGATGGAGTATGTTCGTTAGGTTCTTGGATAAGGTAGCTCACAGGAGTTGGTGAAAAATAGCCAGTGTTTTGTTCATCAATGTTTTTGGGTATTCCCTTACTATGAGCATCTATGATCTACTGTATCCCCTGATTAAACTATATAAAGCCTGGCTCAAATGAAATTAGCACTGGTAAGGGATTTGTTTTTCGTTTGGTACACCGCACAGGATGCATCCGAGAGCGTGCTTCTGACCTTTCCATCAGTTGTGGGGCCGGGCAGTGTGGTGTTGGAGTGCGACTTTACTGGTAGCATCAGAGGTGGGGGAAGGCGGAAATTGGCAGTGCCCTACTTGCGGAAAAATCCTAAAAATGTGTTGCCAGAGCAGACTGGAATTAGTATGAATTTGTATGAATTTGTATGTAAATGTATGCAATATGTTTATTTAAAATTTATGATATCATGTTATATGAATTTATGCGATCATCCCAAAAACTTTGCCAGAAGAACCATAATTTTGGATTCAAATTACAATCCATATATATATATATACATATTTAATGTACAGTATATATATATATATTTATACAATAATCTGATGATGTTTTTTTTTCGCCCAAATGATGGTGTTTACTGTTTACCAAGTCGCCATGGCAGATGGCCAGGTCCTTTGAGCGGATTGTACCACTGCGACTTCAATGGAATTGCGGGCGCTTCGACTCACTTTGAACCGGTCTATGCGCGCTACGCCGCCCGCTTCAGTGATGAGAATTCATGGGGCGGACTGATTTTTGGGATCTTTTTTAGCACATCCCAAACAGGAACGAGATTAAAATAGATTAAAGCTTGGATGTACACTGTTAGATCGAGGTTGATGTTATAATCTGGTTGGTGGTTTCAAACGGCTTTGGGATAAACTTTCTGATCCAGATGGGATAAACAAGTCAGCCCATTGTTTCGGGCGGGCAATGTTTGATCATTCTTTAACATTATGATAATTCTTTAACTTGAGTAATTTCCTTGATTTTGCGCCATGCCAAGTTACAGTATTCATTGTTTTCCTATAGTTTGTTGGAATATTCGTATTTCTTCCATGTTTGAGGATTAAAGCCATCAAAAATCGAGTCGTTGGTTTTTTAAGGTTTTGTTGATCAAGTTACAGCAGCAGTTCATCCACCATGAAAAGTTGGAAACTCCTTTTTTTACCTCAACAGTTTAGCATGACGAGTCTCATTGCAGCGCCTGAGACCCCGATCTTGCCCCAAAAAGCCAGGTATTTCCGTGCATCGATGAACCAGCGGCCAAAGCGCACTTCAAAATCTCGATCGTCGCTCCGAGCGCATTGACCGTTGCAAGGCTGCAGGAATGGCAGAGAACGTGGCAGCGGAAGTTGGCTCTGGGTGACAGTGTGGTGAGATGAATCCACTTATTTTGGTATATAGAGGGAAACAAGGTGGGAACATGTCTTTCTTTCTTTCTTTCTTTCTTTCTTTCGTTATTTCTTTCTCCAGTGCTCATTATCTTAAATCACGCAGTCGACTGTTCCCAGGTAGTGTCCAACATGCCGGAAGAGAGCTCGAGATCCATGGATGGTGTCACTGAGCATGTTTTTGTCCCTTGGCTTCTGGCCATCTCCCAGGGAGCCACCAGGGCCATCCAGGGCCATCCAGCGCCTCCGTCAGGCCGAGACGCCCCGCATGTCTTCCTATCTGCTGGGCTTTGCCATTGGAGATTTCTCAGTGATCCACCTGGAAGGAAAATCACCAGTTCCAATGGCTCTCTATGCCCAGCGGGGAAAGGCCGGGCTTGGAAACGACATGCTGGTTGAATGGTGGTTGTAGTGGATGTGAAAATCAGATGTGGTATCCTAGTCTCATGTACATAGCTACTTGGGTTTTGAATGGTTTTGACCCATGCCCAAATCAGCTGGCTCTTTGACTGTTTAACGGGGATGTCCAGCTAGCTGAAACCCTGTTAGGGCCAGGGTCTGCGCAGGGAAACCGCCAATGGTGAGCATCCTGAAATCATGTAGGCCGCTTTTCAGAGATTTGCGGGTTCCCTGTCCACAATCTACTGAGTTCTGGGCTCACAACTATATACCTCAAAGAAATAGCATGTGATGCCACTAGCATTGGACACTCCCCCAGAAAAAAATATGGATGATTTTCCCATTAAGACATCCATTTTGTAGGGGATTTCCCATTGCATTTGATTACCCAAGGGTATTCACTGAAGCCTCACAAGGAGAAGATGGGCCAATTTGCATTGGAAATTGCTGCGTATAGCCTGGACTTTTTCGAGAAGTTCTTTGATCAGAAGTTCCCTTTGCCGATTCCTGTCTTGTCATGGCCGGACACCAATACTGCCCGGCGCACGGTGGGATATGTACATTGCACCTGTAAATACTTGGATTTCGTTCCTGTCAAATGGGCTCTGCAGTTTACCTAATGCATAGTTCCCAGCAACATGCGGAAACGATCCTCATGGTAGCATTGAAGCATGAGGGACAACGCGTTTAACAACCTGCTGGCGGCTTGATGTGCTGTGTGGTTGTTTCAGCTGGGTGGGGTCCATTCCATGTCTCACATTAGGCCACAGTGCAGCCCAGTGCAGCCAGTGCACGCATGACTTATGGAAGCAGTATGGGAATTGGCTGTTCCATCATTGGGGGTTATCAATTCCACCAACTATGGGATTTGAATGTCCTGTTTCCGGGAAATCGAAATCTTTGGAGAGAAAGTCAAGACCAACTGACCAACTCTGTTTCTGTTTCAAACCCAGTGGCTCAAGCGGTCGAGGAAGCTCGATTTGGTGGTTCCGCCTGCCTTCCCTATTGGTGGCATGGACGCGGGGGGGCTTCCAGATTTGTCGATGCCAAAACTTGCTTCCAAGCAACAGAAAGCAAAAGAGAATTGATTAGCTTGAATTTTGGGAGCTTCAACAACTTTCGGGCAGCTTCCCAGATGCCTTATGATTCCTTCAAATCAGGTGCTTTTCCAATGAATATGGTAATATACTCATACATACTCATACAACATACTCCGAACAATCTGGAGACAATCCAAAGATGGACGCAAGGAGAACTGGGGCATCATCACTCTGACAGATCGCGTGCTGATGGATGAGACGGCCTCCTTGCGCAAGCGCCAGGGTGTTGCACCTCAGCTATCCATCTCTTGAAAAATGGGGGAGTTTAACCGTCAAAAGATATATCAAACATGGGGGTTTGAGATATGGTTTAAGCATGAAATGAGGGAGTGGGGGCGATCTACTACTCACAATAGGGGGTGTGGCTATCAGTCCAGAATGGATCTAGAATTGCTTGGACGATGTGCAGGAAAACCTCAGTGGTTCCGTGAATGCCCGAGGGTATATGGATATGGTGAGATGGGTCTGTTCCCATATTTTATCCGTGATGAAGATTCCATGAACTTCACTGAACAATACTTATGATATCTTATGATATCTTATAATACACATATATATATATAATAGTATTATTATTATTAATACATATAGATAGATAGATAGATAGATAGATAGATAGATAGATAGATAGATAGATAAGTTTAGATTAGTTTAGATTAGTTTAAATTAGTTTAGATTAGTTTAGATTAGTTTAGATTGGATTAGTTTAGAATAGATAGATAGATAGATAGATAGATAAGTTTAGATTAGTTTAGATTAGTTTAAATTAGTTTAGATTAGTTTAGATTAGTTTAGATTGGATTAGTTTAGAATAGATAGATAGATAGATAGATAGATAGATAGTTGATACGACCAGCAACTCCAAGTTTTGTGAAACCAGAATGTTCCTCATTCGCGGTGTGTGCGCGGTGTTCGCGGAGGCCAACCTGGTGGCGCACGAGGTCTCGCACATGTGGTTTGGCGACCTGGTGACCCCACAATGGTGGGACGACTTATGGCTGAAGGAAGGCTTTGCCTCGTGGGTGAACCTGTTACCCTTGGATGTGACGCGCTGGATGTGGATGGGATGGGATATCAAGGGAATATTGGATGGGGATCTATAAGGAATATATATATATAATACATGGTTGGGATGATATAAACTGATATTCTTAGCAGTGATAGTAGATATTCTATACATTGTATATATATAATATATAATATATATATATATATTATATCCCTTTATAGAAAGATTCCCAACTGTTAATGGATGAAACCAAGCATATGATGGTTCTTTGGGGTCATGGGATGATCTTTTTACGGAAAAGCCATGGTGGGGGTTCCACATCTAATGTTAACTGGAAGATTAATGGCTGGTAAGTTGGTAGAATCCAGCTGGTATGCATCTGTATTCCCAATGGCATCTGGTAGATTCACTAGCCTCTGGTTATGTCAAACAGTTTGCTATTGAACATGGCCATAGAAATAGTGAGTTTTCCCATTACAAAATGGTGATATTCCATAATTATGTAAACGTTTACCAGAGGGTAACTAATCAACGAACTCCATGGCTCCATGGCCTGTCTAACTGGTTGGGGCTCAAATGGATCACCGTGGTGATCCCCAGGCCAAGTACCCAGAGTGGCGCGTCTGGGACAGCTGGATCCTCTCCAAACTCTATGGCGGTTCCTCCAAGGGCGGGGCCTTAGAGGTGGATCAGTACCAGGCGACGCATCCCATCGAGGTGGCCGTGAACCATCCCAGCGAGGTGCAGGAGATCTTCGATGACCTCAGTGCCTCGGTCCCACGGACGGTCCCACACCATGGGTTTTTTGGAGATGTTTTTGAGGTGAAATGATATGCGATGATATTTTATGAGATAAAATCATGACGAAACGACAATACAACATATTAAACCAATTTAAGAGAACGTCATATGATATGTGGCTGTGTCCAAAAATGCTGTGTACTGTATATCCTCCAAATAAATGGCTACGAAAGAATGGGCAGCATGATGAGAAGCCAATGGATGGATTCAGGGGTACCCTATTGACAGACCCACCTGATGATCACCCTAGAACTGTCTTCGGTGAACTTGGGTTGGGTATGGCGGACAGCCGTATCTCAAAGTTGATTGGAAACCACCAGACAGGCACAGGTTGGTTGTCATGTATACAGAAGTTGGAAGGCTGTGGTTGGGCTCTTTTCGTGACTCTGGTATGGTCCAAGTAGATGCAACTGGGTCGAGGGAAGCCGTGGAATTCCAAGCGATGAATCTGAGGCTACAACAAGGGGTCAGCAGTGGTGAACATGTTGTACCACTCCTTGGGCCACGAGACCTTCAGAAAAGGCCTCTCTGAGTGGCTGGAAAAGTGTAAGAGCCTTGCTTCAGGTGAGCGATTCGTTAACCCCCTTGTGGCTAAGTTAAGTAGTGGAACCAGTTAACCATCAAAATATGGGATATAAAATACAGAATTGGACAATTGGAAATGTATATAATTAATATATTATTAATATAATACTTGCTTTATTGGGGATTATCAGAATCCACCAAGGAATCCCGTTCACCAACGAGTGTATTTCCATAGCATAGGAATGAGGATCCGGCTCATGATTCCGATCCGTGGCTCCACATGATGAAGCACTAAATATGCACGGATACAATCATATACACAAGAATCACGAATGAAATAATGAAATCCTATATAATCCTATATAATCCTATATAATCCTATATAATCCTATATAATCCTATGTATATATATATAAGAATATCCCACTTCAATATATATATATAATATAATGGAAATCCTAAGAAAATATCCAACTTATAAGCTATAATGACTTTCATGTTGCAGGGTCACGCGCTGTCCAGGAACTCCAATTCCACCACCAACGAACTCTGGGGCTGCCTGGCTGCCGCCTCGGGTCAACCAGTGGCAGAGCATCTCAGCCACAAAAAAAAGGCGCTTTTTTTTGGTGCAAAATCCTTAAAGAAATGGACAAACATTGAGGATGCTCATGGATTTCCACAATTTCATGGGGAGGGGACATGTTATATCATGTTATGACATGTTCATGGGCCATGGGGAAGTTTTTGTTTCTACTCTTATCATCACGTATGAGTTTTATGGTGACAGTCCATACCTAGACCCTCCAAATACCACCCAAAAATTGTAAAACGATACTAAGACTCTGTCGTAAAGCACCATGTTTATGGGTATTTGGAGGGTCAAATGGTACATCTAAAATGGATTGTTCATGGGCGGAACGATGATCGGACCTTGGAGCCAATCCTGGACCATAGACTGGCAGATAGGGCGTGGAAGATTTTTGTTTCCACTAAAAGTGACTTATTTTCAGGGTCCATGTTCATTTCTCCGAGGGTAACTTGCTGTTTCATAGATGTTTTCCCCAAAGAATTGATGTTGATTCATCCAACATCCGGCAATCAGCTCCGTGGTTGGAAAATTCTTCATTTATATTCATTTACTACGTAGATCATTTTTTCCGGTTAGAAACTTCCTATAGTTCGACGATTTCCAGCCAGACACGTTAGACGACATCTTAGGATGATGACCAGCTGGACTCAGCAGATGGGTTTTCCTGTCCTGGAAGTCACTTCCAGTGTCGCGGCATGTCGCGGCGCACTGCGCTTCACCAGGGATAGTTGTAACGTTTGATCCTCCGTTTATACCAATAAAAATGCTGCTTTTGCCCAAGGCTTTTGGTACATTTACATTTTTGTTGGGGGTATTTGGAGGATCTAAGTAGCTTTGAAACTAACGTAGGTTTGGGGATCTCCAAGAAGTTGTTTCAACACGTCGTTGGACTTGTTGGATGATTTTGTGCCTAGTTTGATGACCAGCCATCCATTTGGGGTTTCTAATGGCCCGTTTTAGTTTGCCAGACCGGGTGAAATTTGAGATAATACCCAGACTTTCATAGATATAGATCATTTCCTTTCCTCAATGGCCCCAGCGATATTGAGGATGGAGACATCATATCACACACCATTAGCAGGATGCCCATCAACAAACGCCATTTTGATGTTCACCAGGGATTTCCTGATTTTTGTGCCATCCCCATCTGGAAATAGCCGCAGAGCTGCGGAGGTGTTTGCGGCGAAGATTGGGAGATATCGCAGCAACGCTTTAGCCTGAAACATGTGAAGGAAGCGCTTCAGCAGCAGATTTCCGAATTTGCTGCTGAGTGGCTAGATGTGCTAAGTGGACCATGATTCAGGAAATCAATGGTGTTTGGTGAATTTTTGTTTGGTATGAACTCCATGTATGATACAGTTTTACCATGTTTTACCTTCATTTTGCGCACTATATTTCTGGGGTAAATCTTGGCAAATATACCATACATATCCATGGAGTATAGGAAGTGAACAATGATGAATTACAAATTGCATCAAGTGTTGCAGCTATTGTTTCAGCCTCTTTGTTTAGGGTTGCTCCAAGATATCATAGATAAATTATGGGTGAATTGGAAAATTTGTCCTTGATCTACCCCAGTTCCGCCCCCCCAAAAGTTTGTTTATAGACATAAACGCCATTCACTCTAGATATCTCGTCCATAAACCCTAGTTACAGTTCATATTAGTTCTAAACCTCCAACTATCAAGCCCATGTTTCCAAGGAGAAACGCATGAAGGTCAACACTTGGACCATTCCCGTGTCCTTTCAGCATGATGGCTCCGCGGGATGCGAAGAACGCACACTCTTCTCAGGCTGTCGCACCAAGATACCTCGCAAAGGCCAGCATCATCAGCTCCATCAGGACTCCATCCATTGCCATGATAGGATTTTCATGGATTTTCCATCTATTACCATATGGATCCAGCCATGGCAATTCGAGGATTTTCCAGCCATGGAGCTGATTCCCAGGTCACGAGCCACGCCATCTGGGAAAATGATCGAACTCATGTAGGGGATTTCCAGCAAGCTGGAGCTGATTACAAAAGGTTGGCAAGTGGATGGATGTGGATGGATGTGGATGGATGTGGATGGTAAAACCATGTGTACAGTAATTCACGACTTCAATGACTTCAAGAATGAATTTGTGAAAGCAGTTCACCAACTCTCCGTCCAAGTGAGTCTAAGTGGACAGGCACAACCACTATTTCTGTTGGGGGGTCTGATTGCTGCATGATGAGACCTGGGGAGGCGAATGGATCAAAGTGAATAGCGGCATTCGCACACCACTACGAGTTTGCTATTCTAAAGAGCTGCTGCAAAAGATCGTGAAGTCTGGTTCCTTGGTATTCCTTGGTCCTATGTCATTTGATCTGGTGGTTTCATCGGTTTTATGTTCAACCCTACTCGAAAAATAATACTCAATTGACGACTGCAATATTTTCTAAATGTCGCAAGATGGTTTGAAAGCACCAACACCAAGCAGTTTTACTCGTAGCAACATTTTGACATGTAAGTGCCTAAGAGATGGAACTCATGTCTTAGCAAGAAGGATGCTTACATAACATACAGAACAACAATCCTATAGTCCTTTTCCCCAAATATACAATAATCGAATATATATAATATATGTATGATCTAATACAATTGTATGTTTACAACATATCTATACGTATACATATAGATATATTTATTGATATATTAGGATATATTAGGTAACCTTTAAAGCCCAGTGTATTGGATCTATACATTTTTTCGGGACCCAGATTCTTGGCATTTCATTTTTGAGGAGAGAGGGGATAATCCCCCAAAAGGTTGGTGCGGGGCCATTCAGAAGAGGACACGAATTACCATGACGATCCAGACAATATTGATAGTTAGACTATGTTAGATATGTTATTTTGGGGTTTGAGAATATCCAACTACAGTGGTTGCGAAATCCTGCACCAGTTGATTAGGTGGTAAAACCTCCCATTATTCATAGGGTTTCCGTGCAGGATTTCTTCCATCTACAGTATCACCATGACCAAACAATATTGATAGTTAGATATTACCTTAGAACTACCCTGTATACCACTCCTAATCACCCAATCATTTCATATCATTTCAACATTCCTAAGACATCCTCAAAACTGGCCTGATGTCTTGCCAGTGGCGCCTGAGGCACTGCTCTTAAACCCATGGATCGTGTTGGATTGGTGAACGATACTTTTGCCTTGGTCCGGGCTGGTCGCTTGGTATTACGATGGGGATCTTGGAAATCACAAGCGTACTGTTCAATTCAATCTTCAGACATCAATGATGTGACATAAACCTTAAAAAAGCAATATAATATTGGTATGTTCTACATTATAATCTTAGTATTAATCATAAAACATAGGTAATATTATATAAATACTAAAAGCAATAACATAAACCATTAATCTTAGAATTCTACATAAATGTTTTTTTTATGCTGGATCCAACAGGGCGAGCTGATTGCCCTTTCGGAAAGGTCACCATCCTCACAACGACTATGATCGTAAAATTTCATAATTAGATATAATTATGCCATATATCATATGGAACAAGTTACAGTCATATTATAACCACATATATAGTACATGACAAGACTGAGGGTTCCTGGAAGCTCCGGGGAACCCCCAGCCTTGTGAGCCTATATATATATGATACATATGATTTCTATACATTTCTTGCAGCCTCGAGGCATGTTGGAACCCAGCGTGCTGATGTCGCTCTTTGAATCTCTGCTGGCCACGGAGCGAGATCCATTGGCCTGGGTGGGTCACATCGCGGTGCTGCGCAAGGTGCTGCGAGAACTTAGACATGTCCGAAGGATTTAATGGATATAATGGGATATAATGGGACATAAAATGGGATATAATGGGATATAATGGATATATTAATTATATAGATAGGGATACATGGGATATATAGATAGGGATATAATGAGATCACAGATGGTGATGATAGGGATATAATTGGATAGATACCTTGTACATCCTTAGATTGGAAAAACATGATCTGTTTCTAAAAAAACTTTTTTTTGGGAAACGGATTGGAAAAACCAATCTAGAGGGTTACCAGGTATATTTATAGTATGTTTTTGGATGATTTCCTAGGATTTACTATGGAGGATTTACTGGGATTTTTGGAGTAAAACCCATCCTGTTGTGGGCCTTTGATAGGGACATGAGATTGGATCTGATATGAGATCTGATATGGGATATTATGATTATTTTGACGACGACGACGAGGAGGAGGATGATGATGATGATGGGCTTGTCTGAAAACTGGGGAATGGCCCGTAATGGCCCCAAGAATGTGGCAAGTTTACTAGGGATATGAGGTTTTCTGAGGCAAACTTATACTGTAGACCCTGTAGTCGTATAGTTCAAGTAACCACGGGATTCTTGGGGTAGCCCATTTTGGGACATGTTTGGACAAACACCTCCGAAATGGAACAACAAATGGGGTTTGAGCCAAGACAGCAAGATTTCACTGGGTCACTGGGTAATGGGATGTAATGGGCTAGTGGATGGTCGGTTACATGTTGAAGGGTTTCCCCCCAAATCTCCAGTCCAAGAAAGTGTGCAGGTGATCGATGCCTTCGAAGGTGCCTTCGAGGACGAAGAAAAAGCGCGGGAACTGAAGCGATTCATCACACACCTGGTAGCGCCCTTGAAGGACGGAGCCATCTATGTCTGATATTTTGGTGATGGTGAGACATGTTGTGTGAAATACCAAACATATCCATAGGTGGGGATGTTTACCAATACAACATAATACAACCACATTTAATTGTGTTCAAAGGTGATAAACAAAATCCATCAAAATCCAAGGACTGGTGACCCCGCCAGAAGGTTTGTGAATGGGTCGGTCAGATGGTGCAAAAGATCCGTTTAACTTCCATGCATGGCATTGGATATATATGGGGGTTTCCTAAACTGGGAGTACCTCCAAATCATCCATTTTAATAGGGTTTTCCATTGCAAACCATCCGTGTTGGGGATCCTTCATTTCAGGAAACCATATGTGTATCAATGTAGGAACATTGCATGTGGCTGCAAGACCTTTGGACCAGCTCGTTTGGGCAACAGGAAGGGTTGAGCCATACTGAGTGAGACTGCGATAGGCCCCGCTCCCACTGCCACCCAGTTGTTATTTCATCCCATTTAGCCAAGCCCCAATTTCTAGTGAATTCTAGCGGTGATCTACCCACAAAAAAAGTTGCTACTTATGGCCCATCATTGCCACCTGGCACTGGTGACCCTCTACATGGAGGACTGAGGAAACTGGAAAAACATGTAACCAAGAATGATTATCAATGTGATAATCCCATTGAACACCTCGTATTATTTAAATTCCAAAGGTGTTTTTTTAAACTTAAACAGAGGAGCAAACGGGCCGAAGGGTAATTTCACGTAAATCTATATAAGGGCATGGTCTGAATAGAGATTTGCCTGAAAATAGGGTATCCCAATATGAACTCACTGGTTACTCATCATCTTCCCTCTTAAATTAGCCATAAATTGGGGCGTCCGCTATTTTCAGAAAAGTCCAGCCAGAAGTTCCTATATATATATATATTGTTGGTTGATGTTGGTGATGTAATTATCCTATGAAATATGCTCATCATGATATGGTTGGTTTGTACGCATCTAGAACTTCAAGTGTTTCATCGGGAATTCTCAAAGTACCATTCAACATGAGGCTGAATATAGAACCCCATTCCATCCAATCATCACCATTTTCACATGTTCCATTGGCCATAACTTGGACACCCAAATTTGATCAAAATCTTCGATGTTTAGCACGCGACTCAGTACTTGGTGGTTCATCCCATTTAGGAAAGTGGAGCCCAAAGTTATAAGTGGACATTGACCTTACTTAGCCCATTTATAACCAGGGAGAACAAACCTATTAACCAATGGACCCTCCAAGTCTTCAACAGTATGTATAAAAATTGGTATACAGGGTATATAACCCCAAATTTCCTAGGTACTTGGAGGGTTTCCTAGGTGGGAAGTCGAGCACGCACCCTGTGAGGAGCGCCTGGGTTGGGAAGAGCAGGCTACGGAAGATGCCTGGGAATCCCTGCTGCGACCTGAGGCGCTCATCTTTGGGATATACCCTCTGGTAAATTGACATAGCAAACTGGAACATCACCACTGTGAATAGGTAAATCAACGAACTAAATGGCCATTTTCAATAGGTTAAATTACCAGAGGGTACCTTTATTTGGGATGAAACATGTGTGAAATTGCTGACAATTTTGCTTACCGGGATTGTATTATTCCCCACCTGTCAGGTGAGGGTTATGAGATTTTGTGTCAGCTATCCCGCCGCCTCCTTCTCCTCCTCCGCCTCCTCCGCCTTGTCCGCCGGACCTCAACTGCAAGCGCTATATCGCAGTGTTCCCCACCGGACCCGAACGGCAAGCTCAGGATCAGAGTTATCCCCGCCGGACCTCCACCGCAAGCTCCAGAAGCAAGAATTTCCGAAGATATACCAGATAGAATGCCAGAAAGACTGTCAGAAGAAATACGCTAGATAGAATGCCAGAAAGAGTGTCAGAATATATTATGCCAGAAGGTATGTCAGAATAGATGCCAGATAGAATGCCAGAAAGAGTATCAAAGTATATGCCAGAAAGAATGATTTCCAGATGGTATGTCAGAAAGAATGTCAAAATAATGGATCAGGGTAGGGATCGCTCGAAGAAAGTATATAATTTGGTTTACCCCACTAGTGTGTTTGGGCGATCAAGCATATCAATCTCCATTTTTCAGGAACCATATCTTCTTGTTGGATGTCATCAATTCTGCAGAAACTCTGGGTTTGATGTGTTCATGTAGGTTGGTATTCAGCCACTTTGATGGAGCAAGTGCTAATATCCCACTGCAAATGAAAATATCCAAGGGGGTATCCAAGGTCGACACTGATGTTGATTGGTGGTTAGAATCTGTCAGAAGAAAACAAATAAGGAAACTTATAAATGATGGTTGGTTGATGGCAATTTGCAGATCTAGTACCTGGTTAACTGATCCTCATGGAACCCGGACATCAAGGAAGCTGCTCAATGTTGCACGCTTTGTGCATAGTGGAACCACCAAACTTAACTTTGACTAGTGGTTAGTGGTGTAAACATGTTTGGTTTTCAATCCCACACATCTAGAATTATGATCACACATTATTTGTATTATGGATTGTGTAAACATAGTCCCAAATGCTTCATGTATAGATTATTTGCCATCCCGTTTACACTCATTGAACATGACCCAGTCCTGTAAGTAGCATGAAGCACAGGTCATACAAGGTGATGGTCCATGGAGGTAGTTCACTAGTTAGTAAATGGATTACAATGGGTTATAACCCACTTACTAACCAGATAGTTAACTAATCCCATGGCCTATCCAAGAATATCTATTGGAATTGCAAACCAACTTAGAGTTCCGACCCTGGGGCAGCACTTTGAAAGAGTATGTTTCACTGGCTGAAAAACCATGGGTTTTCTGTGGTTTATTTCGCGGCAGGTGCTGAGTTTGCTGGGCACTCTCAAGGAGAGTCTGGTCATTTTGCAACACCGACTCCCTATTTCGGGAGAGATCATTCTGAATCAATACAATTCAACCATTTCCAAATGGAGATTTCCTGAAATAGGGGTACCCCCAAATCATCCATTTCAATGGGATTTTCCCTTATAAACTATCCATTTGGGGGTACCCCCATTTATGGAACCCCCCAAACATTTCCAATGAATGTCAGGGAAAAGATGTAGGAAACCATGGGTTTTGACCCCCCCAACATAGGTTTTTTCTGTCACTTCCTTTCAAATGAACCAAGTGGTGCACCCAGGACCCCGAGGTGTGCCGGGAGTCGATCCAACGTGCCGAGTCCTACCTCTGCACGGCGCCGAGCCATTCCAACGGTGGCTTGGGCGGCTTGAACTTGAAGGCGGCCTTTCGATCCCCTTGCCCCGCCTGCGGTGGCCCCCTGTAGCAGATTCTGGGGTTGGCGGGATGATCATGCGCGCTCGAGTTTTTTCGTCGAGGATGGTTTGTTTCGGAAGCTGGTGGTTTGGAACATGGCATGAGAATTGGAGTTGGACTGGGTTTTGACAAGAGGCTAATTATGATGATGATCCCCATGTCTTCAGTTACCTTCACCTGGTATACCCTGCAGTAATCAAACATGGTACTACAAGATCCCCGATGAAAACCGATGACTTTTTCCCAGCAACCTCCAAAACGACTGAGGTTTGGAGGTTCCCAGCTCGGCTGTGCGGGGTGTCGCTCTTCGAGTAGGCCTTTCCAACAAGGCCTCCCTCTGGAAAAGCATGTGCGAACGCCTCCAAGCTGCCAGCAATACGGAAGAACGGGATCAGTTGCTGACGCTCGGCCAGCATGAGGAATATCATGACGATCCAGTCGTACCAGAGGGCCCCATAAATGGATATAGGGGCCCCATACCCCAACTTCCAAGGGGAGCAAAAAAAACCATGATGAAATACCCATAGAAGCAACCTCTGGCCTGCCCTTTTGTACCTTTTTCAGAGGTCGTATTTTCTGATTTGGGGGTATTGGAAATTCAGGGATTTGAATCCAAAGGTCCACAGGGTGGATGTTCTGTCCCACCAAAAGTATATCAGGGTTTCTCTGAAAAAGGGGGGAAAATGCTGATGAACCATGATCGCCCATCAAATTTCGGTGGTTTTCCCATCAAATTTAGATTTAGGCCTTTTTCCCATTTCAGTCAATTTTGGTGAAATGTGAAGATCATGTAAGATAATCATAATCGGTGATGCCCTGATGGCCCTGATGCTCCCCAATTTTTGCGAGCAGAAATCTTTGCTTCCGCCCGGGGCAAGCCAGGATAGCATTGATGGGCCATTCAGATGGTCGAGTCCTAGAAGATTGGGTCGCAGCCGCCATTGGCGGCAAGCTGCCTAGCCAGGAGATTCGCCTTTAAAGTCACCAAGTTGGTCCAAAGTTGGTGGTCTCGTCCCAATTTGAGTTTCTCTTTCCATGCAACTGAAGAATTCTCAAGTTTTTTGTTTCCCCATGTTGGTCCTCTGAAAATCCTCCGCAGGAGTGGGAAACACTGTTCGCGGGCTTAGCAAGCAATCGACATCACAAACGATTGGCTTGGAGGATGTTGATCAGACATTGGGATGCGGTGGAGAAAGTCTGGGGCCAATCGCAGTTCAAGATGAAAGCCATCATTTCCCATGCCATGTCCAAAGCAGATCCAGAGGAAGTGCAAAGTTTCTTTGAACGCCATCCCTGTGACCTGCTTTGAAGCACTGATGTGGGACTCTTGCGGTGCACCCGGAAAGACTGATTGGAGTAGCCACCCTGAAGTTGACACAACATGAGTACAACATGATCACAACAAATTTGACTTCACATTCAGTCTTAATTGCCAAACTTAAATGCCAAAATACATCAGGTCTTGTACTAGAACAACTTTATCAAATGGATGTATCAACTATATATATATATAGCTATATAATATATATATACTTATCATCTCTCTTCTACACATTATATATATATGTATATATATGCACATAATAATAATCATAGATAGATAGATTAGATTAGATTAGATAAGATAAGATTAGATGGATAGATAGATAGACAGATAGATAGACAGACAGACAGACAGATAGATAACATATAGACAGTATCGTTTTCCTGTCGACAGGTGATGTGGCCAAGAGAAGCATCCAGCAGCAGCTGGAAGGCCTGGAGGCGGATGCACGGCTGAACGCCAAGGCGCAGGACTTGCATAACTACTTTCAATCAGCCCCGTGGTGACGCCGATGGCCTGGGATGGATATGGCGGCCTAGTGACCTAGTGATCCTAGTGGTGAAGCTGGTGAAGCTATGAATAGTTATATGGTTATATAAGTTATATATATATGGTTATATAGCAATGATTTGTTAAGAGTTTAAGCTATGATAAATCTATGGGTCATGGCGAATAATGGGAAATAGACCCATTTAGGGACATAATACCACGACATATCTCCAGAATATCGGTTGTATGCGAATAAACAGCAATACTAACTTGGAAAAAACATCCCTGGAACAGTTCTATTTGTTGATTCTGTAATACTTGGATCAGATGTTGTTTTTCAGATGGTTTTTATATGTTTTTATTTTAACACCATTGGGAGGATTATGTTCCCAAATGATTAGTATTCTTCCAGGGTGTTTCGCCGCTTCAAAAACCGCATCGGATCGGATGGTTTTCGGGAACTTTCATGGAAAACAGGTGAAAACAGTGTATATTTTTCAGCGATTCTAGATGGGTTAGATAGATCTGAAGATGGAAGATGGAAGTCGTGGCCGAAGGGCAGAATCGTCGACTCAAGCTCCAGAGGAATTTGCGGGTTGGTACTGTAGTGTTGACGAATGAACTGGACTAGACCTAGACCCAGAATAGACCCGAACTTGGGAACTTGACCTCCTATGACTATCCACCATGTTCCAGCACCATGTTCCGGCATTGAGGGCATGCCCCAACTCTGAGTGGCTTCCATGTTTGGAACAACTCTGAGCGGCTTCAATGTGTATAAATCAATATTTGAATTGCTACAAAGATGGACATCAATAATGGTGTACGCTGCAAGGCTCGGACGTGACTTGCAGCGTTTGTACATGTTTGTAAAGGATCCCGGCAGCAAATGTACAGTTTCTCGTGCTCGCTGGCCAACTGTGATGACACCTCTAAGAAAAGTGCTGCTTGGGCTTTGATCGACTTCTGCAGCAAGGTTTTTTTCTGATGGTCGTCCAGTCGATTTAGATGGAACTAGGATGATTTGGGAGTACCATAGGAGTACCCTTGATTCAAGACATATAACTTGGATTGAGTTCACTCAATGAACTCCAGCAATTTTTTGCCAACCATTGTGGGTTCCATATTCCCATCCCCTTCCAGACCCTGAGAGGTTACACCTGGATGATGCGAGAGCTTTCGTGGAAGAGTCCGATCTGAGCTTTGACTTCGTGTGGCTGGAGCCGGGGATGAGTGGAGCGCTTGTTGATCGGGCTGGATGGGAAACCAGGTGTCTCTGAACATGGGTTATACGGCTATACTACCGTATCCCCCGAAAAGGCAATTCTCAACTCTAACTGGGAAGATTTTGTGGGTTTAGGAATTTGAATTGCTCCATTTCAGACCCAGAGCCGGCTGATCCGGCCACCAGAGATGGGCGGAACTGTTTGGTGGTGAGCAAAGTAAAAATCTGACAGGTAGTTTTCGCCAAACAAAAAATATGCAAAAAATTAACCACCGAACATCTCGCATTCATCAGCTGGGATGGGACGATATTGTGACAGTTTTGACATGGCTACACCAAAATTCATCAGATGACAAGCGGAACCACAATGCAATCATATGAACACCAAATTGCTGATAGCTGATAGCTCGCTGTATTCTCTCCCCCTCAACGGATGATCCCATAGGTCTTGATCCATCCAAACATGGAAAAAACAACACATGGATTACTGACTACACACAAGTTTACACCAAAAAATCATGGGAAAACCATGGAGAAAAACCATGGTTTCCTTTCGATTTCGCACCGTCTTGGTCCACTTGCAGACAGTGCTCGGTCAGGACGGACTTCTGGACTTTGCCCCTCCCAAGAAGGGCGACGTCGCCGCCAGGGGGCTCTGCGATCGGCGTTTGGAAATTTGATGTTCTTGGAAATTCACCATGTTGACCTCAGTATAAAGTAGCGGGTGTGTATATGACGGTTTGTCAAAATGTCTGTTCCCGGTTTCGTTGATAAATCGCAATTCCATGCGTGCCGCCTCATGTTTGCCTTTAAAAAAACATGACCTACCTTGATGACGTGAAAACGTGGAAATTCTTCGTTACCTTTGGAAATCTTTCTAAAACCACAGGAAGCGGCTAACGCACGTCGGTTTTCATTCGCTGTCGCTGGTACTATCTCCTGAACTGTGTGTCTCTGTGTGTGTGCCTCTCTGAATGCAATATGCTTCTTGACATGCCTCCTGATCAACGCTGTTTCCTTACTGTAAGCTACCAAAGCGTGAACATGGCTGTGCCTCTGAATGGGCTGCCGGTGGACCGGGGCATGTATTTGCAATTTTCGCTAGCGCGTTGCTAGCGGCGATCTAGCGCGTAAAATACGTTAAAAACAATCGAAAATTTGGGAATATGTGGAAACTGACAGACTTGTAAGAAAAGCTGGCAAGACATTCACGACATGGAGGCCATGGCTGTCAATCAAACCTACCGCAAACCTAGCGGGTTTGCTAGCGCTGCCTTGCAGAATTGCTGAATTTAGTTGCGTGCCGCCTCAAAACGAAGAGGAAAAAACAGTAGACCCAGATGAATTATCAACAACCAATACTAAACTTCTAAACAACTATTTTTGACAAATGGTCATATGTATGTAGTAGTGTATATAATATATATATATAGTATATATATATATATATATATACAAAGTTATATACAGTATATATATATATGTATACATAGGTGATAGATAGAGATACACAGTCACATACAACAAATTAACGGTTTAAGAAAGCGTTGAACCATTTAAATTTTTGTTTGAGACTTCTTTGGCTGTCCACTTTGGGTGTCCTAGTTTCGGAGACCAGTCTGCAAACATTGGAACTTGTCCTTGTGGTTGGGGACGGGCTCACAATGATTTATGCCTGGGTAGTCATTATTAAGCACTTCGGGTCCCTTCGGAACCAAGTCACTTAGGGCCTGGAAGATGACATTGTGCACTCGACGCGGGTCAAAGACTTGAAAAAACAAATGCACTTCTATGCCTGATCTCAATGCTATGATGATTTGACTTGTCAAACAATGCCATCTTTTTTTTGCACAACGTCTTGATGGAAAACCACCGAATGGCTCCCCTCAGAACTGAATAGTCGGACGGTCATCTTCTCCAACGAGGGGTAACTTGAACCCACCTTGGGATTTGATCCATCAAGGATGTTTGACACCAACCTCTCTCAATCTCTCAAGACTTGGTACACCCAAAGTATGCCATAAATTAATCCAAATTCAACCTGGAATCTGACGCTTTAATTTTTCCCGTCATTCCCCCATCCTTGACTTCTAGGATGTTTTCCCCATTGTTTGTGCCGATTCTCAACCTGAGTAATTTTCTGAGGTATTTTCCCAAATTGTATTCTCATTGATTTCTCCACTAGCAACATGATGTTCATGCACATTTCCCATCATTTCCCATGATTTTCCCATGATTGGTCCACCTGACATTTCTCCCCACCTCCGATCCGAGGCCGGCATCGATGACTTCCTGTCGCTGCTCTGGCCTCGTTTGATGCCCGGGGCACTGGTGTTGCAGCTTGGCCAGGAAATTGATTGATGCAGAGTTACGGTATGATGGTTATTGATATGGTAAAAATGTGGTAAAAATGTGGTAAAAACAATGCCATAAACCTACCAAGACTGGGAATGACAACCATACCACCTATAAAAATGATGATGACTGGGGGATGGTTTATGATTGTTTTACCAACATTAAATGTTATTCATATTATTAAGGTTTAAGGGGAGCCTCCCAAAATATTCCTAATCCGCGGATTTCAGGCATTTTTTTGGATGGTTCGGCAGTTCATCCAGAGTCGTATTCCAGATCTCTCATATTTTGGAGGAATCAAAATAACGTGGGGTAAACTCAAATTTCATTTCCCCATCCCATTAGTCAGTTCCCTGTTATAATCCCATAAATTATTGATCGAATTTGGTGATCAGTTTTAGTTGCATTGAGTTTTGTTGATTCTCGAGATCTATGTTCGTTTACCTCAAGTGGAATCCCCATTTTGGATGGTTTTTGATTCTAAAAACCGATGCATTTGTTATCCTCAGGAACTGGTTGATTTCTCATGAGAATCCCGTTACTCGTTGGTGGTTTTAACCAGGGACCCGGCTCAAGCGCCAAACTTCGAGACTTCACCGTTCAAAGCATGCCATTTCCATAGATTTCCAACTATGATCCCATTATAGAATGGGCTAGCGCCCAGGTGCCGCCGACCCCCCTCTATCAGCCCATGTAGCTTTGAAAGCCAATAGAAAGCCATTGCTGTGGCCTTGGCCCTGGGGTGCCTGGTTGAGAAGTGGCCTTGGCCCTGGGGTGCCTGTTGGGGAAGGTGTTTGGAGGGTTTGGAGGGTTTTGGAGGGTTTGGAGGGTTTTGGTTTGGAAGGTTTTGGAGGGTTTGGAAGGTTTGGAGGGTTTTGGAGGGTGTTTGGAGGGTTTGGAAGGTTTGGAGGGTTTGGAGGGTTTTGGAGGGTGTTTGGAGGGTTTGGAGGATTTTGGAGCGTTTGGAGGATTTTGGAGCGTTTGGAGGGTTTTGGAGGGTTTGGAGTGTTTGCGGGCTGGCAAAGTTTGGAGGGTTTTGGAGGGTTTTGGAGGGTTTGGAGTGTTTGCGGGCTGGCAAACGGCAGCTTTGAAAGCCAATAGAAAGCCATTGCTGTGGCCTTGGCCCTGGGGTGCCTGATTCAGAAGTGGCCTTGGCCCTGGAGTGCCTGTCCCTGTTGGGGAAGGTGTTTGGAGGGTTCGGAGGGTTTTGGAGGGTTTGGAGGGTTTTGAAGGGGGTTGAGGGTTTGGAAGGTTTTGGAGGGTTTGGAGGGTTTTGGAGGGTGTTTGGAGGGTTTGGAGGGTTTTGGAGGGTTTGGAAGTTTTGGAGCGTTTGGAGCGTTTGGAGCGTTTGCGGGCTGGCAAACGGCAGCTTTGAAAGCCCATAGAAAGCCATTGCTGTGGCCTTGGCCCTGGCGTCCTGTTCGGGAAGTGGCCTTGGCCCTGGGGTGCCTGCTGGGGACGGTGTTTGGAGGGTTTGGAAGGTTTTGGAGGGTTTGGAGGGTTTGGAGGGTTTTGGAGGGTTTGTTGTGTTTGCGGGCGGCAAACGGCAGCTTTGAAAGCCCATAGAAAGCCATTGCTGTGGCCTTGGCCCTGGGGTGCCTGTTGAGAAGTGGCCTTGGCCCTGGGGTGCCTGTTGGGGAAGGTGTTTGGAGGGTTTGGAGGGTTTTGGAGGGTTTGGAGGGTTTTGGTTTGGAGGTTTTGGAGGGTTTGGAAGGTTTGGAGGGTTTTGGAGGGTGTTTGGAGGGTTTGGAAGGCTTTGGAGGGTTTGGAAGGGGAGGTTTGGGGGGTTTGGAGGGTTTTGGAGGGTGTTTGGAGGGTTTGGAGTTTTTGGAGCGTTTGGAGGGTTTTGGAGCGTTTGGAGTGTTTGCGGGCTGGCAAACGGCAGCTTTGAAAGCCAATAGAAAGCCATTGCTGTGGCCTTGGCCCTGGGGTGCCTGATTGAGAAGTGGCCTTGGCCCTGGAGTGCCTGTTGGGGTTGAAAGCCAATAGAAAGCCATTGCTGTGGCCTTGGCCCTGGGGTGCCTGATTGAGAAGTGGCCTTGGCCCTGGGGTGCCTGTTGGGGAAGGTGGTTGGAGGGTTTGGAGGGTTTTGGAGGGTTTGGAGGGTTTTGAAGGGGGTTGAGGGTTTGGAAGGTTTTGGAGGGTTTGGAGGGT